TCGAGAATTTTTTGTCCCCAAAATTGCAATATTTTTTCAGTTTCAAGTGTATTTAAGTATAATCCAGGCAAAGCAAATAATAAATTTATTACTTTTTAATAATTTCTATCCAGTGATATACCGATGAATTCAAAAAGAAGATGAATTATTGTATACGGTTTGGTCACTCGTTATGGTCCGCAATCAGTTGNTCAAAAAGAAAGCGACGAATTGTTGTATACGGTTTGGTCACTCGTTATGGTCCGCAATCAGTTGCCAGCGCAAGTGGTTAAGAATATTTGTGTTTCATGATCACCATGATTGTGGTGAGAGGGCAAAGGAAGAAGCAACAAGTGCGAAAAGAAAAAAGAATGAGCGAACTGAATATGCGCGTAAATGAAGAACTTACAGATATCGGGTGAGATCTTCGACGTCGACGAGCATCGAATCTTGCTCCATGTGTAGATCGTCCCTTCTCAAAAGTCCCTCGACCAGTGCTTCGTTCAGCGCGGCGATTCTTGCGTGCAAATCGTTCGCCACTACCTGCAGCTGCGCGACATTTAGCTCCGTCAAAAGCACTCGGGACAGTCTGCGTCTGTCTTCACCCAGTTGGACGCCAACCTACCGACCAACACATTATCTTTTCATTCTTTTCTATTTTTACATCAAATGTCCATACTCTTTAGTGATTTTTTTCATATTTTTAGAATGTTTAATTGACAATAACTGTTTCGCGTATATCTCGGCGATTTAATAAATTTCACGAATTTGTTTGTCTTTAACTTCTTGCGCTGGAATGACGTGCTACGCACAAAATTGCAATATTTCCTCAGTTTTATGTACATTGAAGTATAACCCAGGCAAAACAAATAATAAATTAATTCTACTTCTCAATAATTTCCAGTAATATCGTACCGACGAGTTGAAAGAGAAACGGTTTGGTCACTCGTTATGGTCTGCAATCAGTTGCCAGCGCAAGTGGTTAACAACGAGTCTTACGACTGCTTGGACGAATAGAGAAAAGTTATGTTACGTTATCGTTGCTTAGATTGTCTGATGATGTATTTACAAGTGGAGACAAAGTAGAAACAGTTGTTTCGTTTCTTCGTGGAACAGATTTTGTAAATCCTATATATGTATCATTCTCAATGGAGTTCCCAGCAATACGAAAGTTTCCACCAATCATTTTTTTAAAAAGAAAATTTAAATTTTTGGTAATCAGTCAATCGTTTCAAGTTCTTTATACATTTTTCATGTTCTTTATACATTTGATTGACTGTATTTTTTACGATGAAATATTAATGACCAATGAAACTCTGGAAAAAAGAAACACATTCGTTGCAATTCGAAAAGATACATACATACATATTTAGATGTTGTCTCACTCGAGTGGACCACTCTGCATAATGTACCGGTACGTTTAGCGTTGAAGCACAAAAACTGCTTAAAAACAGCTTAAAGCGAAAAGTCGTCCGAGTTTCAGACGGAAATGTATCCAGAGTTTTAACTGTTTCTTGTCCTAGATTTCTGATTTTACGAACGACAGCCCTACGCACGTTGTATCCCTTACAACGTATACAACATTTACACGACATTTCTAGAAACATTTTTCTCCAAATCCAGTCATTCACGATTTTGCGAGACATCTCGATAGGTTTCAAGATATACAGCCCGCGATATATACAAAGAAATAGCACACCGTGTAAATTTTGTGAAATTCATGAACGAACATATGTTTATTCCTACTTGTACACATCTTCAGTTACTGTTTATATGTCTAATAACGTGATGACGGCATGTGATCATTGCCTCTTAGTTCGTGGAATCGTTGTTGCGTTACTTTTCTGCGAAAAATCAGTCCGACAAAATAATAGCACACGTCGCATATTTTCACTTCTCAGTTGAATGACCGTCAATCATCGTTTACAATATTATATTGTAAAGTACTTGTAAAAAATGGGTCGTGGTAAAAAGCTAACGGATTAGTGAAATACAAACAGTTTTGTTATTACCAAGAGAAAATTTCTCTGTATCGAAGATAGCAAGAGCTATTGATAGAAATCGGAAAGTTATCAGTAATTTACTTAAGAAATCTAAAAATTTACAGGAAAAAGAAACATCCTGGACGACATGCAGCTCCCGGAACAGACGCGAAAAACGTGCCATTATAAGAGCAGCATCAAATGCATTGCTGAAGCTTGTGGGATAAATACGAATATTAGAAACGTGCAACGTGTCCTGCAACAATGCAAACATTTGCAGCGAAACAGAAATTGCACAGGAAACCTCCTTTAACAGAGGCAACATTGAAATTTGCGGAAGAGCATGCGTATTGGTCTAAAAAATGGAAAAGAGTATTATTTAGCGATGGGAAGAAATTTAATCGAGGTGGAATTACTATCATCATAATTTGCGAAAGGATATAAAATGTTTGAGTCGTCGTCAGATGGGTGGTGAAGGTATAATGATATGAAAGAACAGATATATATATAAAGTTTATTTGAGGTAGAATGAATGCCAAAAACTATTTAGAACTAATTAGTGAACAAATTGAAAGATGTGCTACAAGGATATCCGAAAATGTGTTTATATTTCAACGAGATAATGCGGTGATTCATACTGAAAAAGTGGTAAAGTCATATTTTGAAGCTAATAATATTCCACTTTTGGAATGGCTAGCCCGTTCTCCAGACATAAACATGATAGAAAACTTATGAGAAGATCTTACAAGAGCCGTTCATGTCAAGGAAAGACAGTAAGAGCAACATAAATGAATTAAAAGATGTATTTCGTGGAATGAGAAAAAAATAAACGAAAAATGAATTAAGAAGCTTTATAAATCTCTTCCAAGGCGAATGATTGCAATTATAAAAAAAAATCTGGAGGTTCTACAAAATATTAAATATTGATTTTTCTCGGTAAATATGAACAGAAACTGATTTTTAAAAATAGCGCGCTATTAATTTGTCGCGCCGATTTTTCAGAATTCTTTCGTTTTTACAGATAAAATGAGGACTGTGTTGTGATTTTCGTTACATACGTTGCAGAAATTGGCATGCAATACCTGTGCATTTGTAAAATTACATTTTTGTAATTTGTTACCTAACAATTAACAAAAACACTGGGTGTGTGTTATTCTTTTGTCGCAAACTGTAACCGAGAACGGGAAACGACTGGACAGGATGACGTGACGACTCACTTTTTCCAAACTAGATCGCACCATCTCCGTAATGGGACTTTGCTTCAGCCTCTGCCTTTCGACTTCCATCTGCATATGCGCCATTTCTTTGGCCTGCGCCAGGGCCATTCGTGCCTCGGTTTGCAATCTCGCCTGCCTAGCGAAAAAGTCGGCTTCGTCGATCGGTGCTGAATTCGAGGTGCAGCTCTCCAATCTCAAGGGCGGAAGACTCAGCACTTGAGGTCTAACTGGCATTTGTTGAGTCTGCTGTTGTTTCGAGTTGAGCGCGGTCGGTGTAGATCCAGGGGACACGTCGCTTTCCGAACACGGGGATTCCGTGTCCGAGGGCGTTTCGTTCATGAAGCAGATCTGCAGATTCATTCCTGAAACGAGCAACTCGTTTTAGAAACCCCCTGACCTCCTTCGTTGATTAATTTTTTAAAAAGATTACTTTTTTTCTCTTTCTCTCTCTCTGTTTTTTTTTTTTCAATGAGAATTGCCTCTGTACTGCTCACTCAATTGCTGCGATGCTACTTTAATTTTTTTAATCGAACTTGGTATCGAAAAGAGTCGAATTAGAAATTTGTTGGGTCAAGTTCAATAGTTTCCAACTATTTGAAAGTATAAATATGTAAAACCGTAATACGTAGCAGAACGTACGAGATGTTGATTCATTTTTAGAGATTCTGCACTTTTAACATTTTGTTTTTCTTCTTTTGAGACACGCGAATGAAATTTATTAGAAATTAAGTTGATTTCACTTGATTGTTTTCTGTAAAAATAGCAATTGATCTTTTTCTTTTATTTTCGTCCTTTTATTTTGTAACGAGTGAAAATATGTACACTCTGAAAAAAATATCCTCGTTTGAATTTACTGAACTGGTGTACGAGTCACTTGTTCATCTTCTAAACTCTCTCTCACAATTACATCAAGGCGATAAAACTTTGCACTATGGTTTAATGCTTCTAAATTCAATAATAAATACTTCATACTAATAAATAAAGAGAAAAGCACAAGCAAGCTAAATATAAATTTGCAATTACCACTGTCATTCATCACCTTAATCTTCTAACGAACGGCATCTCCATATCATGTGCTACATTGCATAACAATCTGTAATCGTGTTTCGCTCGAACTGACGCAGCGCATCGAAACCAACGGTCCTCATGCCTCGAAAAATTCTCTACACTTTTATAAATAAAAATTTTGTCGTTCCAACGTTGTCGTGATATCGGACAGTCACACGCAATACCCACGACGAATTTCAAACTAACAACTACTCGCACACCATACTACTCACTGATCGATAATTCTGTCAATGCGCGTAACTAAGAAATGTATTTATTTATTCTTTCGTTTTCTTTTTCAGAAAAGAAAGTTTTTGGTAGAAAGAAAGTTTCCCGACTTCGTGCGAAAGGATGGAGTGATACGAACCGCTTTGAAGCCGCGACTGGAGGCTCGGCTTTCTTCCGCGTTCAACGCGCAAGTCTTCAGCATCTGGTCCCATTGCCAACCTCCTTCGTATCTCTTCGCGGTCGTTTCGTCGCTGTAAACACAGACAGAGAAATCCAACTAATTTCACATACATGTATAAAATGAGATGATTATTAGTTAACGCGAGGGTGGGAATTTCCTCCTCCTTGGCCCTTTCATCACTTGCGCTGGAATGACGTGCCGCGCACGTCGAGAATTTTTTTTGTCCCAAAATTGCAACATTTTCTCACTTTTAAGTATATTTAAATATAATCCAGGCAAAGCAAATAATAAATTTATTACTTCTCAATAATTTCTATCCAGTGATATCATACCGACGAGTTTAAAAAGAAAGCGACGAATTATTGT